AAAAAAAAAAAACGGCAGCCTGCTGTGTTCTGGCTCCCCCCTGCGCTCAGTTGGGCTCTTTAGTGATCTTGGTTACTGTTGACTATCCAGTCCTTCTAAGTGGTCAGGACTCTCCAGTGAACCCCATCATTTCCTACCTTCTCTGCTTTGACTGAAAACCATTCTCTCTCGGAATGCCAAAGTCACTGGAACTTGTAGAATACAACCGAGATCGGACAATAATACGGACCATTCCGTATTATTGCTTGCTCACCCCTGCCCCCTAGTTTTTCCCCCCTAAATAAACGGAAGCCTTCTCGGGACTATGTGTCTCACAGCTGTTTGTCCTCATAGTGTTCTGCACCTGGCACCATTCATTGAAGGGCACAGTAAAGACCTAGTGTATGCCACAAAGTATTCCAGATATTACAAACCACAGGAGCAAAGAACAAACAACCTATCATCCTCATGAACATTCCATATTAAAGTTGTGACAACCTCCCTTCTCCGTGAGTCTTTCACCAACCAGGAAATCCAAGAAACTTCCATGCCCAGAGCATTTATTGGGGGCCTCAGGACCCAGGCATGACTGAGTGAACCAGCTCAGGGCAGCTGATACCGAAGGTGGGCTTTCTGGGCAGCCACCAAACAAGTGGAATCTTATTAGCATCACCTGTTAGGTGTCGTCTGGAGCCTTCCTGGAAGTCATTTAGGCTCCCGTGAAAAAGACTCAATTGGAAAATGGCTACCTGTCCAAATGCCTGATCCAGTTCCAGTTTGGGTCAAAGAAAACCTTTCCCAACAATAGGTTCCTTACAAGTAATCAATGCTCATGAATTACTGCTAAGCCCAGCAGGGGAGCATGGGGCGGTCTTTCAGCTCCGCTTAACAAGGTGAAGGGAATGATGGAAACAATGGGGAATGACAGGTGTGTTTTTAATGCATCAATGATTTTATTATCTCCAGTGAGAAATTACAGTAGAAAGAGAGGATAGTCTCCAAATTCACTGCAGTTTCTCTCGAAATTTACTATGAAATATAGGCCTAATTGCTATCGTAAGATCAAGTTTCCATTTTAAACCTAAGTACATACTCATAAAATGCTACTCAAAATTCAACTCAAACGCATTGCCACTGAGTCAATACCGACTCACAGCGACCCCATCAGACCAGGTACAACTGCCCCTGTGAGGTTCTGAGACCGTAATTTGTTTAAGGGGCAGAAAGCACCGTCTTTCTCCCCCAAATGATACTGAACTCACTTCTGAGTCAAGGCTGACTGACAGCAACCCTACAGGACTGAGTGTAACTGCCCTGCGAGTTCCCAAGACGGTACTTCTTCATGGAGCACAAAGTCTCGACTTTCTCCCGAGGACCCAGTGGGGAATTTGAACTGCTGACCTTTCAGATTGCAGCCCAATGCATAACTAGGACTACACCACCAGTTATGTTTAAATGAAAATAATAATAATGCTTGGATGAAAACAAGGGGTACTTGCAGGTCTAATTTTTAAAACCAATGTGACTCAAATTATAATTTTCAAAAAGGCAGAGACTGAAAAGTCAAGTATAGAGGCTATCACTGGCCTGTCACTCTGAGCCACTCAGTCATCAAACCACAGAACAAGGTTTGTGCACGCCCAGCCCACCTGCCTCCTAGTGAGTAACAGTGACACACAAAATAAAGGTCATTGCCGCTTACGATCACTTCCTTCCTTAAAAACCTTACGTATGAGGCCTAAAGACCAACCATTCCTCAAAAGCAAAGATGAGATGGTAAGAGCTGGGAAGGGAACAAACAGAAGGCTGGTACACTGGGAGACCCGTAACCGATGGCAAAGGGCCACCTGACTTACATGGTAAGCTTTCACCACAAACTTAACAAAATCAATTTGAAAAAATCATCTTGAAAAATAACCCAGAAGTTAAAAAAAATTGCTTCATATTTAAAGATGTTAAACTTTACTCTGTGTTTTCATCCTAATCTTCCTTTTGCAAATACTTATCTAATTTAAGAATCAGAAAGGTATTTTAAGTTTTTCGAGGGATTCTAAACAAATCATTTCCCCTCTAGTTGGCTTTTAAAAGATTACTGAGGTGTAAAGGACAGTTTTTCTTTAAAAATCTAGATAGTTGTTAAACAGTGACACAGATGATGAAGTGATGTTTTGGACACAATGCTAACCAGCAGATCCGGACACACTAGAGGAGAGTTTGTCTTCCTCTAACACGTATTTTTGGTGATGCACGGAAGAAATCAGCCTCACCTGCTTTTGATTGGAGGTTTCTTCTGGGTTCTTCTGGGGCCTCGATAGGCTGATCAGCAAGGAACACTCGGGCTTGGTCGACAGCATTCAGGACAGAGTACTCCTTCTCCTTTAATTCACGCCTCAGAGCCTGTGTAACAAGAAGCAAAAGTTGGATTTGTAACGTGATGTGTTCGCCAAAGAATGGCATATGCTCAGTTCTTCCACCTCTGACCACACTTGTCAAAGGAATGACGAATCACCAGCCTGCACGTTAGCTTGTAAGTGAAACTGTAAATCCCATGGGTAAGAATGATGAAGGAATATGAGTATAGACCAAAAAAGGATCCTGCCTGTAGAACTTAAATATGTTTTTAAAGAATTCTCCTTAAAATATTCACTCG